CATTATCCCATAATCTGTTGTTCCTTGCAAGTAGCGTAAAACTCGCTTTGCACCTCCAAAATGAACTGGCTTGGTTCTTGCATGAATCTGGACAATAAACTAGCAGCAAACATAATGTCAGGTCTTGTTGAAGTAACATATAGCAGGTTTCCAATCAAGCGCCTATAGAGTGAGCTATTAGCCTTCTTTACTCCGTCATCTTTTCATTTGCTGCTAATGGTGTGGCCAAAGACCTGCAATCCATCATTTTAAATTTTTGAAGAATCATTTTGGTATACTTCTTCTGAGAAATAAGCATCCCTTCTATCACATGAAAAACTTCAATTCCCAAAAAATAATGTAGCAATCCAAGATCACTCATTTTATAGGTCTCCATCATATCTTGCTTGAATTTCGACATCATCTTCAAATCATTTCCTTTAAAAATCAAATCATCCATATATAGAGGCAAACAATGATAATGATGTCATGTTCTTGCTTTTGCCCATAAAGAGACACCTTAAACAAAAAACCCTTGAGATTGCTCAACATAAATTTCTTCTTCAAGTTTTCCATTTAGAAATGCAGACTTAACATCAAGTTGAAAAATCTCCCATTTCTTGTGTACAGCAACAACAATCAAGGTTTTTATTGTCTCAAAGTCTTGCAACTGGAGAAAAAGTGTCATAGAAATCAACACTTAGTTTTTGTGTGAAACCTCTAGCAATCAACCTTGGTTTGTGCTTTTGAATTATTTGGTGTTTATGGAATGAGAGGAACCGCAGATGTTTTGATAGAATTTCAACTCCAACACACACTTTGAAGGCTATTTGTTTAGTCAGCCTTTACAGCTGGAATTTCCTTACCCCTGTAAATTGCCCGATCAATTTTTTGGATTTTGTTAGCTCCCTAAACTTAGCTTAGCCAACATTGTTCTGGAGCTAGCATTGCTTTTATGTTTGTAACTACTTTGCATCTTCTTGATGCCTTTCAATGATAATACTCTTACTTCATCAAAAAAAACAATGAATAATAATGAAAGTACTTATTTTTTTTGCAAAAACTAAATATCCAATTGATAAAAATGGAAGAAAGAAGACACGACCTTTTATGACTATTGCTCATTTTGAGCATAAAGCGGTTTATTCCTATCCTTATGAATCAGACAAAAGGATTTCCATGATACTAAAAAAGTGAAAGGGACAAATCTTGTTTCTTTTTCTTCTCCTTTTTTGTCCATTTTCTGACAACTATAACATGAGCATTTCTTTATACAGAACAAAGAAAAAGAACAAGGCAAGAGATAACTCGGAGATAGATCCCTCTTTCTAACCTCCCCCTCCAAATATTTGGGAGTCTCCTCAACCATACTAATCTAGTCAAGCATCAACCAGTAACAACCACACATAAAACCCAAAATATGTTGAAAAATTAGCTTATGTGTGTGTATTAAACCACTGAATCAGTACTGCTTCCCCTTTACTGAAAGTTATTGCGGAGGTCCATGGAACTAAGTATACCAGAAATAGGATAGAATTACACACAGAAAAGAAAACTAATAGATGAATGAATAAATGAGAACTAAATAGGCCGTGTGAAGTTACGAAGAACACCAGCTGGTATCTACCTTCGAGTCAAATTCCTGTACTTCGTCCACCAATTTGAAACACAGATCCCAACATATGGGAAGAAGATCTAAGAACTCTTTCTCATTAAAATTTGCATCTTCAATATGAAAATACAAGGACCGACATGCTGTCAGCTAAAGAAGAGACAAAGTAGCTTCAGTATAACATAAAGTGAATCAATGGGAACTCAAAATTCAGAAAACAATGATAGATGTACAACTTGTTTCAGAAGGTAGTTGCTTTGAATAAAATGTGGCATACCCTTACACACAAGTCATTGTCCTGAAGCAATCTGATTAGAGCACAATAAACTGCTCTTCTGGTGTCATCTTTAATCTGCGAGAAAACATAGTTACACAAAAGTACGCGCGATCACTAGCTCCAAAAAACTATGGGTAATGGCACATACAACAAAGCACAGATACATCATATAGAAGTCTTGACACTTTAAAGCTTACATATCTAACTTAACCTCCCTTAATCAAATAATCTGGGTGGTGGTCAGTCAAATGCACTAGCACATTTCTTTATTTTTTTAAGAGGCTTAAAAACATCTGACAAACAAAATAGCCAAAAACGTGATGGCATGACGCCAGCATTGAACCAATTCCTCTATTTACTCTTCCCTGAATCTCGGTGATATTAGGACAATGAAAGAGGTTCACAACCTACAATTGCCAGTGGAATGATAGCATATGAAAAGTAATGGAGCAAGAAATTAGAAAACAGAAACACTCGAAGATTTCCAATTACAGATCCAGATACAATACTAATTTTAGATTACCAAGAACCAACAATGATTCACCATATTAAAAAATTTCTTACCAGATCTGCTGATTGAAGAGAGAAGATTGCATGGACATTTCATAGAATACTCCTCGTTATAAATTCCCATAAATACACCTTATACATACTGGGAATCCAACACCAACTACATAAATTTCTTATGCTCGACTTCCAAGACAAGTATGAGCACCATTGCAATAGAAACACTTTACTTGACTCCATTAAGTGATCATTAAACTTGTAGTCTGGCAAATTTTAGTAAAAACCCAAATAAAGTAACTTAAAATTAAGCGGAAGTATGTAGAAATGTGAGGAACAGCATATAATCTTTCCCCTAGGGCAGACGCTTGTTAGGGTCTTTTGGACCAACTTGTCACTCATGAACTCTCACTAACAGAATGCTGAACTTCTTTTATTAAAAAGATTCTTGAGTAATGGTTTTCCTTTTTTTTTCCGTATCTCTGTGATGACAAGAGAATTAATAAAAATCATTTGTTTGACCTATTCAAGAGCATGGAACTGGGGACAATCAAGAGTTACGAGAAGTTCGTAAAGGAAACTTCAAACCTCAAAGATAAAATAACTTATTTATCACTGCAGTGTGGAGGCTCAAGGAAATTCATCTATGCTCAATCTCAACAAGGAGAAGGAAAGTAATAGTCTTGTGTAGTACGATTAAAAGAGGAGCTGCAGAAGGGGAAGTTATTCAACCCAAAAGAAAAGAAGAGAAAAGTACCATCTCCCTTGTTTAGGTAGGAAGAAAAAGTGGAAGGTAAGTAACTCTTGCATTTCAGCCTTTTTAGGTAGGAAGAAAAAGTGGAAGGTAAGTAACTCTTGCATTTCAGCCTTTCTAACCCATTCCAAAATTGACAAAAACGAAGAAGCAGACATCTTTAACTTTCCATCTACCCTTCTTGATTCAAATACTGTGTAAAGGGATTTCCGGGCAATTCTCCTTTTTTATAACTGCATTCACATTACCTCTGAAACCCATTGTCCAAGGATTAGTGCTACTTTTCTGTGTATGATCCGCATATTGGGATGATCATTTGACAACTCCAAGGACAATGCGCCATTGAACCTGCATAACATGTTAAGAGATTGTGAAGACCTATACTGCCAATAGAACTTGACTTTCAACTTTCAAACCCAAACAAAAATTTCTAGTGATATATTTAATAATGATGACGTATAGCAGAGTGGTCTCTAACAGCTGAGTTTCACTATCTTAAGCAATGGGAGAACAAAACCATTCAATATGCATGGCACCTAAATTTACTTTAAGATTATAGGAGAAAAGTTCTTAATAAATCATGATGTTGAGAAAAATGTCGTTGACTTTATTCATTCCATTCATAGGAATAACACATCAAGGCGAAGCCACCTATCATTTGCTATTTCTTTTATTCTTCTATGAGTATTTCTAACGAGGAAATGCAACTTCATCAAGAATTTATAGGACAAATGTTGGTGGACAAAAAGTTTCCTCCATACAGAGCAAAGCAATAAACACGTACAAGATCTCTCCAATTTGATATGGACATCAAAGAGGCTTGATTTAGGGCTAAATTTGTAAGGTCTTGGGGCAGAAAGCCAGAGAATAAGAGGAAAGAAGAACCTAGCAACTCCAGAATTCCCTAGGAACAACCTCCTAGGATTGCATTGGGCAAAACACAAAAAAACGAAAAAACAAAAGCTTTACCAATAACCACGATTTACATTTTGTGAGTGCATCTAGGTTGCTTTCACCAGAGATTTGTCTCTCATGATTTAAGCTTTTTACCATACTGGGGGATGAAGTTCTTCCTCTTTTGTCTCTACTTCGGTACAGATTTCTTGTCGCGAACTACATAAATGAACTTCCTTTTGGTTTAACATATTTTTCACAATTTAATATGTTGTGATATATAGGCTAATAAATGGTGAATAATTGAGGATTTTCTTCATAACAACTGATATTTTCTTTTATGGCACATCAACTGTGTTTTTTTTTTTTTT